AAGTTTGGCCTTTCAAATCTGAGATTCCAACATAAGCTGTTGTGTTATTCCCATATTTAATGATGTCTCATGCATGAGGGAGAATTAAACCACTCCATGGAAAATCTAAATAAATTCAAGATTAAACTATGAGGGTTACTAAATTGCCATTAGTTGTCAAGATCCACATAATTGTTAAAGATAGGAAGTACAAGCATGCTCTTTCTAGGGTGAAACATTAGCAGAACAAAATGGGATATCCATCTAAGGTTGTCTTTTGATACACTTTTTAATAAGAAGCAACAAATATTCGATGCAAAACCTATTTGCTATAATTGAATAACTGAAACCAAATTGCGACAGTTCGATGCAACACCTGAATGAGGTGTTCATCATGATGTATGCCAAACCATGGATTTCTCTATAGAGTAAAGGTACAACTATGGATTAGAGATATCTTCTTTCATCCACCTAATACCTACTAGGGAGTCTCCTATCTCCGGCACAATTCACTCCATCTCCTCAGACTTACTTTTCACTACATTCACCAACTTTATTTAATTTTTTATTTGTTATATTTTTAGCTTAGGATTTTAATGATGCATAAGTTATGTGTTAATATTATTGTCAACAGAGGCATGTCCTTTCTGCAGGAGAGTTCGAGAGGCCATGACTAAGTTGGATCTTTCTGTACAGGTGACTTAGTGAATACTTATAGAATGATTTCCAATTTACATTTTTATTTCATGTTTCAAAGTTTCTTATGCTGTTGCTCCAGTTGATTATTCTTTCTTTTTTTTCTTAGATTTTTATGAGGTGGTTATGGGATGGTTCTCTTGCAGTGGATGCTTTCTATGGGCATTCTCTAGGATTATATGCTTTTTATTATCATGAGACTCAAGAAAGTGTCTGGAGCTAGGTTTGATCCTAAATAATGTTAAATGAACCTAAACCTTGACATTGTGGATTATTCCCAACTTATTCATAAAAAAGAAATAAATAAATAAAGAAAAGCTTCCATAGTTGACTTTCCTAATGAATAAAATAGTAAAATGCCATAGTCAATCTCTGTAACCTACTTTTTTTGTAATCTAGTAGTCACAAAAAACATAGTTTCCTTCATCTATAAGTTGAATTAAATTATCACTTTTACCTTCTTAGAATTGATTATAGAAAAACACTACTATGTGCTCTAGATTGGTTGCTTTATTTTTTTCTGTCAGTGTCCACCTGTGAAAGGAAGTTCTATAAACACATATAGAACAAGAGAAAAATGAAAGATATCAAGTGGTGAGATATTTTAACAAGTAACGCATAAGGGACACCATGATGACAATAAACCTTGTTAGACATGATAGGTTATCCAAATGAATGAACACACTAGAAATTTCCTAAGATAATTACTCAACTTGGTTTAACTTTTTATCATTTAGTTACAAAATTGTAATAAAATTGGGCAGGGACATGGAAAGCCTTCAAGCTTTCAAAAATATAACCTGAGACATGTTGAGGGTTCCACGGACAGAAAAAGGACAAACAAAATACTTAAGTTGCACTTGGGTTTGGTAGATTTGGATTTTGAGGCAGAATAGGAATTTTCAATTCCTTGTATAGAATTTCCATGTTTGGATCGATCCTTAGTGTAGTTGAACTTGGTTAAAAGGTTAGAACTCAAAATGAAAGGGGTGACAATTATTTAATTTCTATAGCATTGAGGTGGAATAATTCAAATTCAATTCATTTCCACAATCAAACACATCCTTAGCAAAGGCAACAGAAGAAAAGTCTATAGCCAGATGCCATGCCACCCTATTCACTCCTCAACCAGTTCTTTGACTAACAAATATACTTGTTTCAGTCCCTAGGAGAAAAAGAAAAAAAGTAAACATTTTTACTCTTAGCATCTATATAGCGTGTATCTTGTTGGTACTTCACAGCCCCTATTGCCATTAGTTGCTTAGCTGATAAGTATTGCTAGAATTCCCTTGAGCCATGATATTGTGGGATTTTCTTTGAATTAGAATGACCAATAAGTCAAGGGGAGAGTTAGATAATGTCCTTTAAGGTCATTCACTATCTTTTTCTCTAGAGAAGCCCAGATTCCCCAAAGAGCAACTCTCAAGTTTTGCTTAATGAAACCAGGAAGTTGATCAATAGTCTAATCATTAACTCTATAGGCTCAATTTGGAAGGAGTACAAGTGCAAATATGTAGAGTGCAAAGCTATATATTTTGTATTATTTTGTATATATTTGCACTGTACGTATTTTTATCGTATATGTTTGCTATCTTATTTTCAGAGTTGGTAAGATAATTGTTCTGTAGGTGAGGCTGAGTCTGGGTTAGAACGGCTTCATCAATGTGCTGAGAAGGAACTACAAGTTTATCTAAATGTAGAGGGCCCATCAGAAGACTTTAATGAGTTCCGAACAAAGCCTGCTGGGCTGACTAGGTAACTACTAGAAACACATATACTGCTGGAACTAAACATTGTGGGGATATTTGGTATTAAGGTGTGGGACATGATCTGTTTTTTCAAATATTAATCATCATTTGAGGGAGAAGCACCTTTTAATATAAACCCTTGGGAAGAAAGCCTTAATGGAATAAGAAAGGGAGAAGCACCTTCATCAATCCTATCTTGCTTATTATTCTCCAATTTCAGCGGTGATTTACAATAGAAATCTAAACTTTTAAAATTAAATAACCTGTTTACTTGTGATGATAGTGCGACTCGAAACTACTTTGAGAATTTTGTACGAGCATTGGAGAACGGTTTGTCAGATGTGGACTCCCGTGCTGCTTGTAGCAGAACAACGAGCTCTAAGAATTTGAGAGGAAACAAATCCAGAGGTGGAAGAGGCAAAGGAACTGCCTCCCAAGCTCCTAGTCAACTGGATGATTCAAGTCACTGGTCTTGTGACCATTGCACATATGCCAATGTTAAGTTTGCAAACACTTGCCAAATGTAGAGCAAAGTTAGAGCTCTTCAGGATGTGGAATCAACCTTTCATGAGCTATTTATCACTTCCAATGAATTAGCTGTCATCGTTATGTAGCAGAAGGCACAACTCCAAATATGTGGATGGAGGCATTGGATCAAATTGTGTTAATTGTATTATGCATTAGATCAAAGTTTTTGGTAATTGTATTATTTATATGATATGAATTTTGAAATTATAATATATTTTTAACATAGTTGCATATGAATAATAGTTGGAATGCAATTTTTATCTTTTATAATATCAATAGGCTTACATATTGACATTTTACATGTGTATTTTATTTAGATGATTAACAATAATTATTATAATATTTGCAACAATTTATTAAATTAAATATCAACAATTAAAATGATAATTGGCAATAGTTAAGGTAACAATTGCTTGATTGTTGCTACTTCAACAATAGTTTGGAAAAACAATTGTCCAGTTGTTGCCAATTTACATAATTGGCAACAATTAACATGATTGTTGTATATGAAACTTTTGGGCAATAATTGCTTGATTGTTGTCTATTCAACAAAAGAATTGTTGCCTAAAATGTTAATTAGAGACAAATTTTTAACTGTTGCAAATTTATAATTAACATCAACTAGTATGATTGTTGAGGAACCATTGAGCAACAATTAAGTAGTTATTGCTAAAAATTTATATGGGCAACGATTTTTATTAATTGTTGCTAAAACAAAACATTTGGCAACAATTCCAATTGAGTGTGGCAAAACATTATTGTTGCCAACAACTGTTTCAACTGTTGTGAATAGTATATTTTGCAACAATTGATTGTTGCTAAAAACTTTTAACAACGGCTTCGCTGGCCACAACTTGTTCAGTTGTAACTAAAACATTAGGCAACAATTGCAGTGAAGAGGATATTTTTGTTTTCTCTTGATCATAAAAAATTCACAGGCGGGTTTTGATGGGTCAAAACTCTTCCGATATTCTGGCATCATACATTTTCCCCCATAAACTTGTACATTAATTTTAGATTGAAGGATTCAGTGAGACTCTCTCGTCTTTCTACTGTTGACGTGGGTTTTTCTCAAACTGCAACACCTATGTTATTTCATCTCGTATCAGCACTCTCAATACAAATAAAAATGAAGAGAAGATAATGAAGAAAACAAACTCTGGTTTGAGAGGAGGGGGTAAGGGAATGTTATCATATTTGACAAAATACGTATACTTGCTTTGACAGAACGTCTTTTCTCTGGTTTACTATACCTATAATAATTGTTGTACTATATGTAAAATAATTATTAATTAAGTAATAATAATTACTGATTATTATTTATCATTTAATAATTATTATTATTATAAGTATTAATTAATTAATAATTAACTTATAATTGTGATAGTTGTTATTATTATATTTAAAAATTATAAAAATTATTATTGCATGTGAGGCCTTTAAATTATAAAAAAAGTATTTTGTGTTTTGGGGATATCATTAAAAAACAAAAAATATAAGATTTCTCTTTAAGAGAGAAGAGATAAAAGGAAAAGAACAACCATTTTTCCTCTTAAATTTGTAAGAGACTTCCTAAGAGATAAGAATTAAAGAGGAAATCAACCAGTTATTTGTGTATATTATGACAGAATATCGTTTTTTTGCCTTTCTTTTTGTTTAATACTTTTAAAGCATCAAAATGGGCCCCCATACTTATGACGTTATGAATGTGAAAGCAACGAATCCAACACAATATGGGCCTCCATACTTGAATTTTATCGGATGGAGGTCAATTTGTGACGTTATGAATGCATAAGTGATGAATAGAGGTCGAAAGATACTCTTATATTTTTTATAAATATTCATTAATCATATCCCGTGGTAATTGGAAACACATTTTAATAATACTTCCTTTATTTTAGGGTAAATTTCTTAAACTATCCCTAAGGTTTAGGAAATTGACTAAGTATACCCCTACTGTTTGAATATTGTCTAACACTATCCCTATTATTTTAAAATATTACCATTGTCGTTAAATATTGACAAAAGGGTTGAAATGTCAAATTTACCCTTCCGTTAAATTCCCTTCAAAGTAATTCTCTCTCCTCTGTCTCTCTCACTCTCTTTCTCTTCACCTCCTTTGCACGATGAAGCCACCGTTGCAACCTTTGAAAGCAGTGAATTTTCTGCTACAAATGGTGATTTCCACTAGCTTCTCCATTCTACTAATCTGAAATTTTTAAATCCCTTCTTCCTCTTCGTTCTCTCTCTAGCCTCTCTCTCTCTCTCTCTCTCTCTCCTTCTTCTTCTTCCAAACCCCAATGAGAGCCACTAGAGAGGTCGAAGGTAGTGGAGAACTAAGAGAGCATCCTCAATCTCTGGTCCATCATCTTATAGAACAACTTCCTCAATCGCCGACTGCATCCTCAATCTCTAGTGACAGGATCACTGTTGGAGATTCAGAGGGGAGGGAGCGATGAGGGAATGGTAGCCAGGTTGCGGAGGAAGGGTAGAATGTAGGGGAGAGCGAACTATGAGGACGATCTAGGACTAGAGGTGGACAGTGGAATAGGGGAGATCAGAGGTTGAGAGAGAGAGAGGGAGCAGAGGCGAATGTTGAAACATGGGAGAGTGGAGGTTGTGGGAGAGAGAGAGAGAGACCGGAGGGGGAGGTTTGAGAATTTCAACGAAAGTACTATATGGGAGAGAGAGACCGCGAGCCTATAAACATGTTCAAGCCCATCCGGGGGCCGAACCGGCCCGTCGGGCCACCCGGCCCATGAACAGGTCTATCCACCCATAAAACATGCATTGGCACAACTTCTAAGTGAAAATATAATTAATAATAACTTATTATTTAAATAATTATTATTTATTTTAACAAATTATAAAAAATAAATAAACATTATATAATATATTCAAAAAATAGTTATTAAAGAAAAAATTTCAATTATTTTGTGGATATGATAGATCATCCATATAATATATCCACTCATTTTGATCAAAAGATAAAATATAATTAATTAATTAATTATTTTTTAATTCTAAAAGTATAAAAAAATTATTAAATAAGATGCTTCAATTGGTCTATTGATATGATATATCATCCATAGAATTATAATATATTCAATTATTGTGATCAAATGATAAAATATAATTAATTATTATTTATTTTTTAATTCTAAAAATATAAAAAATCAAAATAAAATTATTAAAGAAGAAATTTCAATTGCTCTATGGATATGATAGCTAAATCATAGATCTAAAACATATTTTGTTTTTATAGGCAGAGAAAAAATTACATTTTCAAATTTTTTGTTAATTTATATTTTCCTTAAATATCTTCATGAAATTTCCATAAACCTACTAATAACACAAAGCAATTGTGATTTTGAATGTAAGAAATGTAGATCAACATAAATTTATACATTCAAGAAAAAAAAGAAATCATAAGATATTATAAAAGATTGAAAAAAATTACCTATTTTTTTCATATTTTTTCAAAAATTGAAAAATATTGAAAAAATTAACAATTCACACTTGTTTCTTGCAAATCTAGCACTCTAGGAATGAGCTTTGGAGATTTACAGTCATTTGGGGGATGAAAGACGACTTATTTCAGGGAAAAGAAGCTTGCTTTCCCTTTTTTTCAGTTTTTTGGTCATATCTTTTTCGTCGATACACTATTGATACACTCTGATACACCCCCAATACGCCTCCGATACAACCCTAGTACAAGTCTAGTATGCATGAAAAAAGATGAGACGCCTGATTTTCATGTGTATCGTGTATCTGTTTTTCAAAGATATGATAAGATACACCCCATATCGGGCATCCACAATTTGACGACGCTTTGGTTGTTGGTGAAGTCGGACCAGGAGAACCAATCTTCGCAGCTGTTGCGTCGTCGCCGGTGCCTCAATTTAAAGCCATCCCCTTGGTCTTCGTTGTAGTTACCAAAACCCGCCACTCGAAAATCTTCATCAATGGGTATCGGATTCTCAAATGGCAAAAAGTATTGGTCTTCATCATCGGATGAAGATGAAGTCGAGGTCGGCGTTATGATGCTGACTACCTAGGAGAGATGAAGTATGTGTTTGGTTCTGTTTATGCTTATTGGATGGGCGTTTATCAAAAAAACGTTTATTTGATAAACACCCACTTTAAACATTTTTCTTTTTGTTGTTTGGTTAAGTTTATTTCGGGCATTGTAAGAAACGCCCCTTTACACCTCAACAACAATAAACATTTTTCCATTTCATGATGTTTGGTGGCACGATTCAAGAAACAGTCATATGGATGTTTCAGTATGACACTTTCATTGTCGTGTATAGGATACATTAGTCAATCCAACGGTCCAAATTACATGTGTTTGAATTTGAAGACCGATTTTCAGATCCAACGGTTAGTATATGATGGCTATTAATGTTATTCAAAAGAAAACTAAGCAAACAACACGGAATTGTTTTATAGTTCAAGTCCAAACAGGGGACTAGCTAGGGGAAATTGGGAAAGCAGTAGTCGAGGTGAGTTCTTGGCTTGAAGGTTATCCAACAGGTCTCAGACTCAGAACAATTAAACACTATCTTTGTTCTTGAACAACCGATCTCCTATCTGAAACAGACAATCAAAATATTAAGGAGACTCGTGCGGACTCTAGTGGGGAGTTCTTCATTGATTCATCGATCAGGCAAAGGGTCATCCAGAGTCGAACCTTTGCTGAAACGAATCTGGTATGGCCATGTTTGAGGAAGCCCAGATATCTCTGAACTCTATAGCCTGTCGTACCGTGCACTGGACAGTCTGGACTTGAGCTTAGAAATTGGCAAAGCAAAACTGATACTTTGGAAACTAGAGTCGGCATAACCCAATGTGGTTTTCCATTTCGATCTTGAAAAGAACTATCATGAACTCAAAGATGTTCATTGGATACTATATTTGCGAAGCATAGCACAATAATAATAACGGACAAACATAGAAAATAACCCTAGACCTCAAAGATTAAAACATACCCTCTGTTTCACCTTTGATTGTTGTGGATACGAGAAACTCTCTCCCTGGGATCAAAGAAAACAGAGA